GGATGTGACATCATCATGATGTGAAGCATGGTGGTGGCAGCATCATGATGTCAAGCACGGTGGTGGCAGCATCATGATGTGGAGCACGGTGGTGGCAGCATGATGATGTGAAGCATGGAGGTGGCAGCATCATAATGTGAAGCACGGTGGTGGCATCATCATGATGTGAAGCACGGTGGTGGCATCATCATGATGTAAGCACTGTGGTGACATCATCATGATGTGAAGCATGGTGGTGACATCATCATTATGTGACGCATGGAGGTGGAAGCATCATGATGTGAAGCATGGAGGTTGTAGTTGTTCAGATTTTGGGACATTTTTGACGAGTTTTTGACTTTCATTGCATCGATTTTATTGATTAATACTGTTTGTAAGCAAGACAAAGCAAAATTACTACTATAAACTTTAATAAAACTTCCCCAAATACAACATTTAATAAAAATAGCATTCGTTTAGCTCCTTGGTGCAACCAGGAGCCCACTGCTGACTCAGCTGCATTGCAAAAATTTGACTTTTTGGCGAAAATGCAGGCTGTAAAAACTAATTACAAAGACTGAAAGCAAAATAAAACCCACTGGATCAATAGAATAACTGCAGCATTGCTCAAAAACAGTATACAGACGATACATTCAGCATGGGGAAACAGCTTTTTGGGGTTGTTGTGATACATGTTGGTTCATTTAGTGCTATATAAGTATGATTGTTGTCAGTTGAATTCAAGGATTTTGGATTTCAAATGTCACCAAGACGCATCCTTTGGCTGAAACTCAACAGTTCATGCGCTAATGACGACTAAATATCAGGATAAAGTGATGAAATGTTGACATTTTATTTCGAAAAGGTCAAAAATCAACTTTACAGTCACATCATGATGATCTGCGGAGACACTTTCCTGGCTGTTGTTCAGTGTGACTCACCATCAGAGCTGCAGCTTCCACCACAATCTGCTTTAAAACGAGATAAAAACACAATAAATTTAAGCTTTTTCTGTGAACTTGCACACTTCAGAGTCTTCCCCGAGTCCATTATATACACAGATATGACTACAATCTGAGTGTTTGTTGGCGGCGCACGGCCGCTAATGTTTTTATAAATATACTTGCTGGAATAAGAAGCTGGCTCCATGGCTGTCTTCGCTAAGTGACTCTTAAATCAGAATATATTTGGGGCGACTGTCTGCTTAAGAGACTTTCCCCCTCTCACTCCAGGATAATTCATTCATTTTTAAATCGCGTTTCATCACTCTGACATGAAGCCATTAACATTTACACGCTTGCGGTTCACAGCCTGCGATTCGTCCTGCGCCTCCTGTTTCCCCGACAACCCCGAGTGCATGAGCTGCCCGCCGGCCACCGCCTTGCATCGTGGGAAGTGCGTCGGCCAGTGTCCGGCTCAGCACTACCAGGACGGCCACGACAGGTGCAGAGGTAGGACGGGTCTCTGTCTGGGTGTTGAATAGTTTTCTGAACCCGTGACGGCACAAAGTCTCTGTTAATGATGTCGTTGGGATACAAACACATGAACTCTGGTTGGAGGTCATTAACCACACAAGTCTTCATCATGGCGCCTCTTTACTGGCTAAGCTCCCACAATGCCTCCCGATTGCCAACACAGGGCTGGTTTAAGTCTTTTACCCACCAGATCTCCTTCTCCTTCTTCCCTCTAAGCCTGCCACAGCTCCTGTGCCTCCTGCTGGGGTCCGTCGGTGTCCCAGTGCAGCTCGTGTCCGGCCGGGCTGCTCCTCCACCAGGGCCAGTGTGTGGAGGCCTGTGGGGAGGGCCTGTACGCCCACGACAGCACCTGCCACAGTAAGCCTTTGTGTTAATGCAGAACAAACTCATGCTGGCTGAAAGCTGCCAGCGCGTCTCACTGTTTTGACGTTTTCCCGTCTCAGACTGTCATCCCTCCTGCCGGTCCTGCGTCGGGCCGCTGGCCTCCGACTGCCTCCGATGCCTCAAACCGGAGGAAGCCCTCCTCCGACAGTCCGGTCACCTTCATCACGGCGTCTGCACGGCTGGATGTCCCGCTCACAGCTTCCTGGATGACATGCAGACGTGCAGAGGTGAGCCACTTCTTTTTATTCTTTATTTCCACCTCGTTTTGAGAGAGACGCTACCCGCAAGGGCGAAAAATCAACATTTTTTTTTTTTACCCCCGTTGGTCACAGTCGTTACTAGTTACCGAGCTAATTAGCAAGCCAATCATCTGCCGCTGTGGGTTTTAAAACAGGTAATCACTGGCATGATTGTAATTTGTTCGAGCCCAGTGAAAGCAAACAGAATTCAATCAGGGCTCAGAGGAGAACCCGCGACAAAGCAAACAAAGGCTTGTCTCTTCAATCAAAGCGCTAATCTGGCTGCTAAATGTGCACTCATTTGTATAAATAGCAGTGAAATATTTCATCTGACTTGACGGAGTATTAATGGACAACAATTACATTAATTATCTGAGCAATTTGTTTTAAAAATAACTAATTGGATTCTTTGGAACCGCGATCAGCTTAAACGCAACACTTGAGGCTCCGCGCATCCTGTGAATGAAGCAATTATTTGCCTAATAGATCAGTAATCAGTCGTGAAAACGCTCCTCGGCTGCATCGTAAATGTCACCTGAGTGTTAGACGCCATCAACAACTCACTGAAAAACTTCTGCAGCAGGCACATGCTTCAAATGTACGAAGACAGTAAATCTAAAAGTAAGTATTCAGACGAGCAGTTACTGAATTTCTGTCACATTAATGTCGGCTGCAGCTGAAAGTTTTAAACCAGCACATGTAGAATTAACTTATTTTAATGAAATATCACGATTTCATGCTCGGATTTGTTTAATTTTCACAATTAAACAAAAAGTCGCACATCATAGGTCCAAGAAACCGCTTTCCTAACAGCTCTAACTCTGATTAATGATGGAATTGTGGCGATTCGTTAAAAATGGCTCCCCTTTCAAAATCTGCTGGCAAGTTTTTAGGTTCAGAGGATTAAAAAGCCTGTTCTTATAGCCCCCAGAAATGCAATTATCAACCCATTCCACAAAACACTGCACATCAACACAAACACACCATCCCCACTGTGAAGCACGGAGGTGGCAGCATCATGATGTGAAGCACGGTGGTGGCAGCATCATGATATGAAGCATGGAGGTGGTATCATCATGATGTGAAGCATGGAGGTGGTATCATCATGTGGGCATGTTTGCCTGCACTATGATGAAAGATGTTGATTCTACTTTGCTGCTTTTTGTACTTTCTCACCTGATCTGAGTGAAAACCTGTGATTGGATGAAGTCTTCTGTCATGGATTAGATTTGCTGAAAATGGAGCCAGAAGTCCAGTTTTCTTTCAGATTACTTGAATCACGACGTCCTTAAAGCGTATTCAGGAGTTTTTGGCCAATGATGGCCCAAATAAAACCACCTGCCTCAGTTTTAAGACAGATTTGTACTCGGGTTGAGCTGCAGAATGGATGGTTGGAAATTTTCCTGACTTTTGTGTTGAACTTTCTGGGCCGTGTAGAGGCCAGACCTTGTGCTGTTGGAGGCTTTTCTGTCCTCTGGTTGCTTGAACACTGACTTCTTATGTATTAAAAACTTACCTTTGGATCGATCCTGAAGTTCTAGACGGGACTTTGTTCTTGATTCTGGCCTTGAAACGCATCTAGAAAGCTGAGTGGGTGTTCTGTTGTTATGCTGTGAGTGTGGAGATGCCTGTTTGTGCGTGTAACGGCCTGATTTCTACGGTGGATGTTTTAGGTTTGGAAGGTGTAGTCTGTCTGTCGAGTGAGAATAATCGTCTCCCTCCTGCCGACGCTCAGGAGACTCCGACTCCGCTGCAGGCTTGTTTTCTTTGTTTCTTTAAAGCTGGACCACAGTGAAGAGATTTAGCTTCTCATGCAGCCGGTTGCTGTGAAACCTGATCCGCTGCCTCCCTACCTGCAGCGCCGGTGCCCACTGACCACGCTCTCCATCCAGCGTCTGGCAGGTAGAAGCTTGTTTGTTCCACCTGCCGACTCAAACGAAGCCAAGTCTTGGGCCGACGCTGCTGTTTCGTTCAGCTCTACTTTTCCTGGTCTGCTCGAGCTGCTTTTAGCTCCTCCTGCAGCAGCAGTGAGGACGGTTGTGGTGACGGATGATCCTCCTGTTGAAGAAGGATTTCTTTGGTTTTCAGACATGATTGAATGTATTTCAAAGCACTCTGGCGCCACACCAGCTTCTTCTTTAAAGGATTTATTGTTGCTTTTAGTTTGGATTTGTGATTTCGATTGTTCTCAATTCAGAACAAATACGAGTTAATGAGTTTTGCGTCACCAAGTCCTCCCAAATAAACCATAACATTGTTTTTTCAGGCTTTTTGCCCTTTTTGGCGTCAAAAAGCTGTTTTTTCTGTTTTAATCCATAATGAGATTCAAACAGAAACACTTTTCTACTCAGGTACAATTTTCTGCACTGAAATTAAAATAACTTTCTGCTGAATTCAGAGAAAGTCCAGGATGTAAAATATAAATGAAGTCGGCTTCACTGGCTGAAATTCTCCTCATCAACACGCTAAAATCTCATCCTTCAAGGAACTGGTTGTTTACAGTAAAACAGTCACACGTTGTGAAACAATCAATTAATATCTGTAAAAAAAAAATAAATAAATAAAATAAAATCATGTGGACTTTATTTTATTTTTTTTATTTATTTGGCCATTTTTTGTTTAATGTATAAATTATTTCTTTATAATAATAATAATAATAATAATAATAATAATAATAATAATAATAATAATAATAACAATAATTCAATATTATCTGTAAATTAACAAAACAAGAAAAATCTGTGGAAATAACAGTTTAAAAAACATTTATCAATCCTTGAAATACGTATTCTGCTATAAAATATGAACAAATATCTGAAAAATAACAAAATTTTTACCAAACTAGTATTTGTCAAAAAATAAGAGTTTTTTTTAGCAGCTTTGAGCTGTTTTCAGTTTTTTAAAAAAAAAAAAAAAAAAAATCAGTGATTTTATGGGATCTTATCTGTAATTGAACTAACCCCAGAGTATTATGTAATTAGATGTTTTTACCTGCTTAATATTAATATTTCCCTTCAAATAATTGCAATTATCTGCAGAATGTTGCTGATTTTAGTTGATTTAAATACAGTTTCAGTCATTTTACATATAAAAAAAAATAGTAAAAGATGGAATCTGTGAGAATAGAGACGTTTAATGTGGAAGTTATTTGCAGATGTGGCGTAAAAATTCACTTTTTAAGTCATTTTTTTTTCTGTCATCTGTAATTTAACAAACCTGGACAATCTGGTCAATTACAGTTTATTTATTTTATTTTATTTATTTACTTCATCTATGAATCTTATCTTAATATCTCATAGAAAATGTTTCACAATTTTAAACATATGTTCATAAGTATGTTGAATATATTCATTTAAAAGAAACTATCTGAACTGTAGAAACAGAGAAATGTTGTGACATTATTTACATTTTTAACCCTTTTTTTAAAAATTATTTTTGCTGTTAATATCCTCAATACAACTGTTTGTTTTTAATCCAATCAAAATGTTTAAAAATTAAGAGAAGAAAATGAAAATATTTCCAAGGATACATAAAGATTGATTTAAACAGCGAAATCTGAAAATAGAAGAACAGGAACAAGTAGTTTCAAAGACAAAGAGGGAAAATAAAGTCAAATGGTGGAACTTTGTGGGGAAAAGAGACTTGTTGTTGAGCTTCCTGTTAGAAGTCGACGTTATTTGTCACTGAAGCTCTACTCTGGAGTCGAGGCTTCGACAGGTTTTCTGTGATTTCCCGTGAAGCCGCAGATGAATCCTGGCGGCCTGTTCACAGCCTGTGTACAGACACTCAGCAGCTGCGTTCGAGCGTCAATTACAGGGCGCTGGGAGCAACGTCTTTATCACTTCCTGTGAGTCTCACAACGCTGTACTTTGTCGCTCCTGTTGTTCAGACTTTTTCCACGACTCCTGTGGCCCAAAACACATATCTGCACGCTTTTAGGAGCCATTTCACAGCTTTTTTTTTTTCTTTCCCTCTGACTGATGCACACCTGCAACAAGTCATGCATCAAGTCAAAGAAGCAGAAAAGAAAAAAGTGAATTTCTTCATTTTTGCATCACGACTTTTTCCACTTTTCTGGCCCAGAGTCGTTGAGCTAATGGCGCCATTAGTCTCCTGGACACGGTTTACTTTTGGGCCGAGCTGCAGATTTAGTTTGCTTTACCTGCGATCGAATGGCCGTTAGCGCTATTGGATTTCCTTAATCATCCTGGAAGAGACAATTACTAATCGATGGGGAGAAGTGGCGGTCGATGGAGTGTCCTCTAGCAGCCGGAGATCACGGGGGGGAGCAGGGTTTAGGTAAACAGGAAGCAGGTCTGCAGGAGGAGCTGCAAGGAAATATAAGAAAGAAGAAACATGACATTAAACCAGGAAAAGGGACAGAACAATCCTTTAATGTAGGTTAACCTCACCAGGGACACATCAGTTAAATCAGGGAGTCTGGACTCTGAGCTGTGCCTGTTTTTTATTCTGATATTTCTATTTCTTGTTCGTAATGTTCCTTTGAGAACGTTTGACCTCCAGTACTGCTGCTTCAAAAAAACTGTAAAAATCTTACAGTGAAAAACTATGTCAACAAAACTGTAAAAATGATGAAAATAACAAGTCACCAGAAGTGTTTTAGAGCAGTTGTTTGCTGTTTTAAAGGCATTTATAGTAACGATTTTAGACACAGAGGAGTAAAGATTGTTATGTAACTCTGTAAAAAAAAAAAAAAAATCATTAAAAAAAATAATAAATAAAAATGTGGCAGTAAAGTTGCCAGAAAAAATACATTAAAAAAGGTGAATATTGTAAACTGTGAAAATTATTAAAATAACAGATGCAGGCCAGTGGATGAAAGGTCATTCAGTCTCTAGTAATCAGACTGTGTGGGTCAGCTGACCTTACATGTAGCCTGTGTGAAATCTCATGAGAGCAGCTAACACCAAAACAATGTGGCGCCTCGGCATGGAAAACATCAGTTCCGATTGTTTTTTGCACCGTCT